ACACACACACACACACACACACACACACACACACACACACACACACACACACACACACACACGTGAGTAGACTTGATAAGTTAGAGTTGAGTAGATGTTCAACAATGTGCAAAAGTTTAAAAATTCATTTTTTATTACTCTTTTTTTCTCTCCAGACTTGTTTGTAGTATTCTAAAAAGGCGTTCAAAAACTTTCTAAAGGTCTTCCAAAGTTCTTGTTTAGAATTTGTTGGTTTTTCCCATACATTTGTCCAGAATTAGTAATTTACAATTTTTAGAGGTTAGCATTTTCTGTAGTATTTTTTTTTTCACTTAACAGTCAAATATAGGTTGTTAGAGCATGGAAGGTACTGGACTCAAGAGATTAGGCAATGTTGTTAGAAACAATTTAGCAAAACAACAAATTTAAATTGTATCATTGGGCACCCGCAGCTTGTCACAAAGGTAGTCATMGTCTGTGTCCAAATGTGTCGGCTGCTTACATCACAGTGCCGCACCGGAGGTTGTCCAAATTTAAAAACTCTCCTGATGCGGCCAACAAATGCATCCTTCTTTTGCCCCGATTTGAAGGATGGGTTTGATGGATCCTTCTCGGCCCACCATATCCCACAATGCATTGCGGGCCGACTGTAGATTTTTTTTCTGCTAGTAATTGCAGGCAAAGCCAGAGAAAGGAATACAGTTTAAATAAAAATCTGGTGGTATGAAAATTAAAAGTTTCAAGCAGTTGTCTTGTTAATGCTTTTGTCATTTGTCATAATTAATATTCTTTTCAGAAGTCAAACGAGCAAAATAACTATGCAACTACTATGCAGGTCTCTTAGTTCTTCAAATATTCCCTTTAGGCTTATTTTGTCATTTTATGATATTAATAATGCTAATATATCGATATTTTTCTAATATTTATGCAAAGACCACACACAGGACTGAGGAGATGCATCATCTCTCAGATAACTCATTTAAAATTCACAGAACCTTTGAGAATTATTTTAGAGGAAAAGTAGCTGCAACGAAGTTTTTTGCAACAAAACCCAAGCTGATCTTGAGACACTTTCTGGGTATCTTGGCGAGATGTAAGCACAAAGTGAGACGACATAGGGGGTGTGGGAGTTGAAGTCCACCTGGTGCTCTTATCCTTCTGAGCCATAAGTGAGTAGTGACAGATTGATGTATTAAGGGTGTGATGAGGTGATGACAGGAGGTCTCTGTGACCAGCTGACTGCAGGATTTAGAACGGGACATGTCTGACACATTTTCTGTCTTGCTCTGTGTTAGAGCCACTGAGTTCCACACCTCCTGTGTTTCCATGATGCTGGCTTCATGTATGAAACCTCACACCAGCACAGGATGTGGCTGGTTCACTTAGAGGCAGCCTGAAGATGGGCTTGTGTTTCTGCTCATATTATGGAGGGGTTTTGTGAAATGGGCTTTTCTTAAAATTGGAAAGCAAGTAGAATAGCTAAGGTGTTGAAAGATCTTCATTGAAACCCCGAAGTAACAGTCTTATAAAGCGTAGAATTGAAATGTGTTTCTAAGGAATTCACAGCAGATTGGCAGAAGTGAATATCTATGGCCTCTGTGGTGGTCCTGCCTTCTTTTGGAATGCACTTCAGCCAAAACTTTAGGAGATCCTGTCAAAAATGAATTAGTTTATAAAGACAGTACCACAATTTGGTAGAATCTGAAAGCTTCATTTTAAATACAAAACTGCAGTAGAAGCACACCTAACTAGAAAAAAGACAGTGGAATATTATCAGTCATTGGTCTTTCTAGATCTCAAACAGCATTACTGAAAAAAAAAATGGCAGAAAAAGTAAAAACCACATTCTTATAAAAGAGCTTTGGAAGATTCTTTAGGAAACCTTGAAATCTAATCCTGATGCGTGCCTGAACAAGACAGCTTGCCTTAGAAAGGTTGGGCTGTTTTGAAGACTGAAGGTGGTCATACCAAATACAAGATATAGCTGATTTTGTAAATATTTTCACATCTCAAGGTATGTTTACCACTTGTTACATTTATATGACAAAGTATAAAGAAATGAGAGCTAGCTTAAAACATTTACAGAGTAAAAAGATTTAAGCTGTTTGTTTTGATTTTGCTTTGAACTGATTATGATTGTTTTAATGTTGTGATGTGCCAAAAATATTTTTCAAAAATGTATTCTGTATCTTATATTATGATGTGAACTCTCTCCCAAGTTCACTTTTCCTGTGAATCGCGATATACTCCGGATTTATTTTGTTTATTTATTGCAAAAATATGTGAACACAAAAAGTGTGCCTCTGAAGAAATGAACTTTTTCCCCCATCAGAGAGGAAAAAAAGGGGCAATGCCCTCCATCAGTCTGCCAAAATTATGAGCTGATTTGCTTGAAAAATAGGTGAGGTACTAACTTCTATTTTGGTGGTTGCCTGCAGCTAGGTGTAAGGAAGGTCCATTTCAAAACCTCGTCAAAATCCAAGATGGCTGCAACCATTTAACTGGTTGCAGCCATCTTGGATTTTAAAGAGGCAATCCAAAAGCTTTGTAGTTTGATTGTTTAAATGTAGTTTCATCAAATGACAGAGGTGAGGTGGTTGAAGATTAATCCGTGGTGGGCGAGACCACCACTGGCCACATCCCTGGCTCTGCTCTTGTGCCAGGTGGTAGATAAAATTGCTCTCTTTACTCTCCAGGATCAATCACTCTGCACGATCTCGTATTAGTAATAAAAACTACCTCTGTCCTTACACACAGTGTGGCTGCTACCCACCTGAACATAGTGCAACAAAACTGTTAAGGTTTACTTTTATTCCCTGTTCAATTCCTGTCCCGTTCCATATCTTAAAAACTACAGTCACTATTCAAACCACTCAGTGATGTTTGATCCCTCTTGGAATCAGAGGAGCCTAAAAGGATGCAAATCATTCAGAACCAGTGCTGCAATGTCTTTGTAAAGCATTCTTCATAAGGACTGTCATGCATTTCTCTGTCTGAATAGAAGATGCGATCAAAGGCAAGCTGCTGGTTATCCTCTATCAGCACTTATATTTTTGTGAGGGTTGGAAAATGTTGGTCCAAGAGTCCAATCAGGTCTTTGGCACTGCTGTCCCGCAGCTACTTTCTCTTGGCCAATTAACTTTATTTGATACTTCTAAGGCTCAGCCTAAATCAGTGTCAGATGCAGAAAATGCACTTATCTAAATTGTCTGGGACAGCCCTGATTTAACTCTATTTCATCTGTTTTAATTAATAAAATCAGGTTATTTATTGAAAACTGTTGAAAGCAACAGGAAATGAGAAACTGTAATGTTACCTTTGTTTCAGACAGATCCTTACAATAATTAAATGCACATGCACATTCTCCCTTTAGTACTGTATAGCTTTTTGGGAAGAGTTTTTTCTTCCTGTATGTTATTTTCCCCCCAATGTTCTCAATATGTTCCAGATTTCCACAATTAATTGTTTTAACAATTTATTGTGGAAATCTGGAACATGTGAAGAAGAAGGTGTTATAATCCAGTCTGTTCTGTCCATTTTGTTTTGTAGTCATATCCCTGCTTGTATCTGCCTGTTTGATAAACTTAAGCAGGACTCTTCTCAGTCCAGTGGTTCAGCTCTTTTAGTTTTTGTATTTTCCTTGACTATATTTTTCAATGCAAAGGTTYAATGACTTTCTGTCTGTCCTCAGTCTTTTTGTCTCCTGTTACTTGGAGAAGCCTTCATTCACACCCATTTTCCTCAACTTTCCAATATCCATCTGTTTAACTTTAATTTAGTCTGTTTCCAGTCCCCCCAAGCCCTATTTGCTTTTGTCTTACTTCTCTTTTCCCGTTTCACCATATCAGATCCATCTCTGTCTTTTCTCCTCCCACCATGTGGTTGCAGCCATTTTCTCACCTTACCTCGAACCAGACATATTCAGCCCATTGATGGTCATCAGAAGGACCGCAGGTAGATGTTTTACCTGAGTTTGCATGAAGCCCCATTTCTATACCTCCACTGTATAACCCATCAAACCCAACCCACAATATTTTTCTGCTTTGGAGGGGAAATAATCCACTGTTGTTCAGCACATAGACTACCTGTATGTTTTTAAAATGCTTCTTAAACATATTTATTTCCTGTAACATATTCTGAGCTGATTTTAATCAAAAGTTTACTTTCATATCCTTTTTGATTGATTAGCTCCTTAACACTCACCACCCCAAAAGTTGCTTCATCGTTGTGTAAAGGATCTGTCACATTATAACATTTTAGACAACTTATGGCAACTTAAGAAAATTTTAAAGACATTTATGTTGAACGTTGTGCTAAACAAATCAACTGGGAGCCTCTTTTAGGTGTGTACATTACTGTAATGCTAGCAAAAAAAACTATATAYCTTTTATTAGTAATTTAGACATTTAAGATTTCACAAGTTTTCTAAAATGTTATAGTGTGACAGGGCCTTAAGTAACACAGTCAAAAGGTTTTCAGTTGTCACATTATTGCAATTTTAACATGTAGTTTATGAGGTTGGAACACACAAAAAGCAAAGGTTCGTTTTTCCTCACGTTTTATTTTTTTATGTTACTGTACAAAGCCATTGAGACATTGTAGTATTTACACCCCTACTGCAGGGGTTTGCAACCCTTACAATCAAAAGAGCCATTTTTGCCCATTGGCTCACGGATAAAATATGTCTGGAGCCACAAAACTTGCTACACCACTGATTATCAACTGCTGGCATGTGCCATTTTGAGTTTGTTGGGGTGGGGTGTGTGTGTGTGGGG